AAAGTACACCCTCTTTGAATTCTATGGTTTTCCATAACATAAAAAAAATCATCTGTTACTTAGCAGGTCTTAAAATTAGGTAAATACAACCCCAGATGATCAACAACACATTACATTAAGCATGTCAAACTGGCAGCCCACAAATAATATCTTTGCAGCCCAGCGAGCCGCATGTTTGACATATTAAGGCAGAGTAGGCACCTGCTTTCCCCACATTGCAGGTAATCGGCCGGGAGGAGTGGTCACTGGTGCAGTGAGGGAGCTCAGTCTGTTCTTCCTGCTCCCTCGCACGCACCCTCTGTAGTGATGCTGGGTGCCGGAATATGACCTCATTCTGGCCTGGCATCACTAAACTACAAGCTTGAGGGAGCAGTGAGGAGCACTGTCTGTCAGTGAGTGTGTGTCTATCAGTCAGTGAGTGTGTGCAGGGCCGGTCTTAGGCCATTAGGCGCTCTGTGCGAAAAGTCTTCACGACGCCCCCCATCCTACCCGGTCATACACGTTCATCCATGTATGTGTGTATAGGGGTGTAGGTTTGTATAGGGGATATATTAAATTAATGATTTAAAAACAAATATTAATTCCCCTTTCCCTGTTGTTACCTTGCAGTGAGATGGGAATACAGATCTCTGGTGTTCCAGTGTGCTGGGAATCTGGTCTGCTCCTTCACTGGGTGCAGACTAGGGATGTGCATGGACAAAAAATTTGGTTCGGTTCGAAAATTCGGGTAAAAAAAAAGTCTGCTTCGGCAATTTGAACCAATGGCATTCCGTTCGGTTCAGCATTTCCGAAATTCGGTAATTCGGATCCTAATCATAACCCTAACACCTAACCTTACCCCAAACACTACCCCTAACCACATCGGAACTTCGGCAATTCAGGACTTAGGCAATTTGTTTCGGTTCAGCACTTCAGTCAGTCACACACACACACAGGCAGGCAGACAGTCACACACAGGCAGGCAGACAGTCACACACAGGCAGGCAGACAGTCACACACAGGCAGGCAGACAGTCACACAGGCCATTATGGCTGGAAGGGAGAGTGGAGACATTGCAGCTCAGGGGAGGCTTAGCAGGCTTAGGCCCGGGGGCAAATCCAGTCAAGTGGACCATTGCACCAAGAGGAGAGTAAAAACACCTTTCCAATTTGATTGAAAGGGAGGGGGCAGTCACCTAAACAGACAGACTAACTGACAGACACACGCACTTGCTGATTTGACACAAACAAACACACACTCACTGACAGGCACACGCACACACTCACACATACCGACACACTGTTAAAGGCATACTGACTTACACAGACAGACATACTGACACACACATAGGCATACTGGCTGACACACATACTGGCATGCACACAGAGACATACTTACACACACAGACAGACATACTTACACACAGACAGACAGACATACTTACACACAGACAGACATATTGACACACACAGACATACTCATATATATACACACACACAAACTTTACACTGTTAAAGCCAGTAGACAGGGCCTGAGTAAGGGGACAGGGCTGTAGTAGGGGGGCTATGGGTTGTAGTGGGGGGACTGGGGCTGTAGTGGAAGGTATGAGGTGTAATTGGGAGGTTAGGAAATGTACTGGGGGATAGGGGCTAAAGTAGGTTGATGGCTACAATTTGGGAAAGGGGCTGTGGTGTGTGTGATATGGGTTGCAATTGGGAGAGAGGAGCTGTAGTGGGGATGTTATGGAGGCTGTGGTGGGGGGACAGGAGCTAAGACGGGGGCAGGGGCTGAGGAAAGGGGACAGGGGCTGAGGAAAGGGACAGGGGAAATCAATTTATAACTTTTTCACTTATTGACATGCAAAAATTTTTGACATGCGTTTTTCTGGATTTAAAAAAAAAAATTTTTTTGTTATTCTGTCTCTCACTGTTAAAATACACCTACCGTTAAAATTATAGACTGATCATTTCTTTGTCAGTGGGCAAACGTTCAAAATCAGCAGGGGATCAAATACTTTTCCCCATCATTGTGTGTGTATGTGTGTATGTGTGTGTGTGTGTGTGTATGTGTGTATGTGTGTATGTGTGTGTGTGTGTGTATGTGTGTGTGTGTGTGTGTATGTGTGTGTGTGTGTGTATATGTGTGTGTATGTATATCTCTATTGTGTGTATATTTTGGGACCTCGGTTTACGAGTTTAATGCGTTCTTTGGGACATTTCTTATTGCGAAAAATTTGTAAACCCAAACGCGGTTTCCTATAGGAATGCATTAAAAACAAATTAATCCATTCTGGAGGTCAGAAAAAAGTCAAAATGAGCTGGCATGGAAACCAACCCACAATGCAGAACACACAGTAAAAGGCATGCAAACGACAGAGCTCAGCTCCCTGACTTTCCACAGCTTGAGAAATGCACCAAAAAGTCCCAAAACAACTGCAAACAATTTCCAGAATGGCTCCAGAACTCGATGCAAAAGCCGCTCCAACAGCTCCACACTCGACGCCACATGCTACTATCAGGATGAAAGTTTGAATGACAAACTGAAACATCGATCTTTTTTGTATTTGAGCAATAAAAGTTAAATTTTATTTTATCCATTGGAAGTCCCTGGAGTGCTATCTACACTACATTGTGTGTATGTGTATGTATGTGTATGTATGTATGTATGTATGTATATATATACTGTGTGTGTGTTTATATTTATATGTGTATATAAATAAATACAGTATCACAAAAGTGAGTACACCCCTCACATTTTTGTAAATATTTTATTATATCTTTTCATGTGACAACACTGAAGAAATGGCACTCTGCTACAATGTAAAGTAGTAAGTGTACAGCCTATATAACAGTGTAAATTTGCTATCCCCTTAAAATAACTCAGCACACAGCCATTAATGTCTAAACTGTTGGCAACAAAAGTGAGTACACCCCTAAGTGGAAATGTCCAAATTGGGCCCAATTAGGTGCAATTAGCCATTTTACCTCCTCGGTGTCATGTGACTCATTAGTGTTACAAGGTGTTACAAGGTCTCAGGTGTGAATGGGGAGCAGGTGTGTTAAATTTGGTGTTATCTCTCTCATACTGACCACTGGAAGAAAAAAATTATTATTGCTCTACATAAAGATGGCCTTGGCTATAAGAAGATCGCCAAGACCCTGAAACTGGGCTGCAGCATGGTGGGCAGGACCATACAGCGGTTTCACAGGACAGGTTCCACTGAGAACAGGCCTCGCCATGGTCGACCAAAAAAGTTGAGTGCACATGCTCAGCGTTATATCCATAGGTTGTCTTTGGGAAATAGACGTATGAGTGCTGCCAGCATTGCTGCAGAGGTTGAAGGGGTGGGGGGTAAGCCTGTCAGTGCTGAGACCATACGTGACACACTGCATCAAATTGGTCTGCATGGCTGTCGTCCCAGAAGGAAGCCTCTTCTAAAAATGATGCACAAGAAAGCCCGCAAACCGTTTGCTGAAGACAAGCACATTAAGGACATGAATTACTGGAACCATGTCCTGTGGTCCGATGAGACCAAGATAAACATAGAAACATTGAATGTGACGGCAGATAAGAACCATTCGGCCCATCTAGTCTGCCTAATATTTCAAAATACTTTTAATTAGTCCCTGGCCTTATCTTAAGTCTAGGATAGCTTTATGCCTATCCCACACATAAGTCTAGGATAGCTTTAACCTCTACCACTTCAGCTGGAAGGCTATTCCATGCATCCACTACCCACTCAGTAAACTAATACTTCCTGAAATTATTTTTAAACCTTTGCCCCTCTAATTTAAGACTATGTCCTCTTGTTGTGGTAGTTCTCCTAGTTTTAAATATTGTCTCCTCCTTTACTTTGTTAATTCCCTTAATGTATTTAAATGTTTCTATCATATCCCCCCTGTCTCGTCTTTCCTCCAAGCTATACATGTTAAGTTCCTTTAACCTTTCCTGGTAAGTTTTATCCTGCAATCCATGAACCAGTTTAGTAGCCCTTCTCTGAACTCTCTCAAAAGTATCAATATCCTTCTGAAGATACGGTCTCCAGTACTGTGTACAATACTCCAAGTGAGGTCTCACCAGTGTTCTGTACAATGGCATGAGCACTTCTCTCTTTCTACTGCTAATACCTCTCCCTATACAACCGAGCATTCTGCAAGCATTTCCTGCTGCTCTATTACATTGTCTGCCTACCTTTAAGTCATCTGAAATAATTACTCCTAAATCCCTTTCCTCAGATGTTGAGGTTAGCAGGGTATCTATCTTTTGCCCTTGGGTTTTTACGTCCAAGGTGCATTATCTTGCACTTATCCACATTAAATGTCAGTTGCCACAGCTCTGACCATTTTTCTATTTTTTCTAAATCATTTTATATTTGGCTTATCCCTCCTGGAACATCAACCCTGTTACATATCTTGGTATCATCAGCAAAAAGACATACCTTACCATCAAGACCTTCTGCAATATCACTAATAAAAAAAATTAAAGAGAATGGGTCCAAGTACAGATCCCTGAGGTACCCCACCGGTGACAAGCCCAAGCTTCAAATATACTATGTTGACTACAACCCTCTGTTGCCTGTCATTTAGCCACTGCCCAACCCATTCAACAAAATTGGAATCAAAACTTAAAGATTGCAGTTTATTGATGAGCCCTCTATGTGCAACAGTGTCAAACGCCTTACTGAAATCTAGGTAAGCAATGTCTACTGCACCACCCTGATCTATTATTTTGGTTACCCAATCAAAAAAATTAATTAGATTAGTTTGGCATGATCTCCCTGAACCCATGTTGTCTCTGATCTTGAAATCCATTTGATTTTAGATGTTCAACAATTCTATTCTTTAACATGGTTTCCATTACTTTCCCCACGACTGAAGTAAGGCTTACTGACCTATAGTTGCCTGACTCCTCCCTACTACCTTTCTTATGAATGGGCACAACATTCACTAATTTCCAATCTTCTGGGACTACACCTGTTAACAATGATTGGCTAAAGTTAATGGTTTTGCTAGTACACCACTAAGTTCTTTTAATAACTTTGGGTGTATTGCATCAGGCCCCATTAACTTATTTGTCTTTACTTTTGACAGTTGAAATAGAACCTCTTCCTCCACGTGCCAGTATGACCTCCCTACAGCGCCTGTGCATGCTCTTGATGAGGTGACAGATGGTTTGTGGTCATCACCTGCAGAACCACTCCTGTATTGGGGGTGTCTTGCTAATTGCCTATAATTTCCACCTGTTGTCTATCCCATTGCACAACAGCATGTGAAATTGATTGTCATTCAGTGTTGCTTCCTAAGTGGACAGTTTGATTTCACAGAAGTGTGATTGACTTGGAGTTACATTGTGTTGTTTAAGTGTTCCCTTTATTTTTTTTTTGAGCAGTGTGTGTATGTGTATATATATATACTGTACTCCAATTATTCTTGCCTAGATTAGATGTTTAAATTAAAAAAAAATAAAAATCTGAACTTTGAAGTTGCTGTTTATTGGATGATTGAGTGGGCTTGATCTTGTGTATTGTATGAATTTGCCCCAGCAGCACCCCATTTATGCATGTTCAGGTAAGTGCAGTCCCCTGGTTTCATAAATATATTTAGGACTCTAGGCCAAGTCATTGGTTTTGCACCCCTCCCTGTCATATGTGTCTCATTCCAGGACCCTATCTACCCTTGTACTGCAGAAAGCTCCATATGGAAAAAAATGTAATCAAAGTAAATGTATGTAATCTCATAACAGCATTAGGCTGTTAGATTAGGACCTGCTACATATGGGGTGCATTGACGTTGAAACATGTGAAACTGTTTCATTGACACGTGAAACTGAGATAGGTGAAAGAGTGGGTCAATGAGAGGCAAGGGAGGAGGCTGAAGTAACTCCACTAGCTGAGAGGCGTGCCAGACACGGTAATCTGAATAAGTTTATAGTAAGTATATAAATTTGATGCAAGTTGATAGTGTAATTCTGATGGACTGTGTCCCTTTTGTGATATTTTATTTTTTTGCACCCAATAGCATGTCTGTCCGATTTCTGTTGTCTGGATCCAGGTAGTTTAGTCGAGTTGTTACTCTTCTGGTTGTCCTGTTATTTGACTAGACCTTTATCTCTGCACACTGGCTTTATCAGTAATCATGGCCATCCTAAAGAAAGCTTATATGTCTTTTACCATCTTTCAACCTGTTTTTCCCTGGTAGAAGTCTAACCAATGACTCAAAACAATCCTGCGTTTGGAGTCCTGTTCTGCCATCCCGCTTAAGTTCTTTGTTGTCTTGTATCTGGTTCACCAGGCAAGGCTGGACAGCCCAGTGAGATCACATCATTAATTGTGCTCGCTCTGTGTAGCAGGCACTGTAACCACGCAGGGAGCACTTCAGCAGCGCTACCTCCATGGTCCTGAAGGCTGGGGTCCATCTGGATGGCTGTCAGTAAGCAAGCCCACACTATTCTGCACTGGCCCACCCACTGTGGGCTTTGTCAGTGATGCAAGTTGGTATGTGCACCTTATCTCGATTCCATACCTCCCACTGTTGAGAGGTAGGCTTACCTGTACTTTGCCCTTTTAATCTAATATTTCCTAACATCTGCACTATGTAAGCAAAATTCTTGTTCCAGAGCTCCTGGTGTCCAAATACTGTCTACGTTTGTATGTTAGTCAAACAAAATTACAACCTTAAAAACCTGACCTACCTCTGGACACAAGACACCAGGAGAAAATGTGTTCTTATACTCTGTGGCCACGACAACCAAAGTGGGGTTTAAGGGACACTCCGGCACCATAACATTTTAATCATAATTAGGTTGTTGTGGTTGTAATGGTGCCAGGAGGTCCCTGGTGCTTTCTTACCTTAATCCCAAAGGTTGCCTCTAGCACCAGATCTCCCTTTCCCAGCATCTGGCTACTTCAATTTAGTTTCAGGATGTGCAGAGTGAAGTCAATTGATGCTCTAAGCCAATCAGTAGCTCCCCAATTCTAAAAATAGGTACAACCTTCCTAGCAGCACTTTGCACTCTTATCCTGGAAGTCAATTGAAGAAGCCAGATAACACTGGGAAAAGGGAGATCCAGTGCTGAACTGCTCAAAAACTATTTAACACCTTCAGCTAAATAGGCGCCAGAGACCTCCTGGCATCATAACAACTTAATTTCAATGACGTTGTTATGGTGCCCAGAGTGTCCCTTTAAATATAATGCTCCTTTGGTCAAGGAGAGGCCAATAATTCCATTAATTTGTAAACTGAGTTATTTTAAATCAGATATTCCAAAGTATGATATGATCTTTCAAATAATATATACTTTTAATAAGCCATTACCAGCGTTTCATTTATTTGCCATGTTTTTTTTTATATGACAATGCATGTCTGTAATGTTGGAAGGTCAGGGGGAGATCAAGGTAGAACAATACATTTCAGAATAAAGGAGGAAACAAAATAATGAGGAAAATAAATGAAGCTATTTCCCTGCTGGTACTTTAGTAATTGTGGGTCATAATAGAGAATCAATTCCTCTATCATGCACGTGAACGAGTTTAATACTGAGGGCGATATACTGTTCTTCCATTGAGTGGTTGTACTGGTCTAAAGTTGTTTATCATGTGCTCTGGGTGTGTAGAGTCCACTGCGGTGTAATAAAGAGAACTGGCAATTGCCGAATACTGTGGAAACAAAAATATATTAATATAGATATAATCATACCTGGTTTTATATGCTAAAGGTTACTTGTTCAATTGGCATGGTGTAAATTAATGTAAGCTGAACAACTACCGAGCCATGACCTTTGAAGACCTATGGGGCTGCAAAAAAAAGAGACTTTCTAGCAAAGAGCCTTTTCTGTAGTCCTGCAATGGGTAATCAGTTTTGTTTAAAGTGAAATGGTAACCTTTTAAGTTAAAATGGTTTAAATGGTATGGATATCATTATACTGCAGTCATGTATCTTTCAATGTAGACCTGGACCACCTTCACATTAATATTCCTTAAATAAATTATACATAGCACTAGTGCAAAATATCAGGATTCTTGGGGACTCCTGCCATTTAGTTTACAAGAAACAAATGTATATGAGGATCTAAGCATTCCCATATACTCACAGAGAGCATTTTGTCCTCCACAGCCACGATTAATGTACCAGAATTTGGGAGTTTAGCAATGGATATTGCTTAGTCGTGGACAGAAGTAATGGATGCAGGGAGTGGGTCCTCATGGACCCCTTTTAAGAAGTCAGAAGGACAAACTACTTACAATAGGGAACAGGTGGACGATGGGGTTATTAGGGCCCTATTGGAACCATACCCACTGCAGCTCTCTGTAGTTGTTTATGTGCTTGGAATGTTCCTTTACACCCTCCCCGACCTAATAGTCATGACTCTGGTATAGGAGTAAATTACTAGTAGACCTTTTACTGTAGTGTTTAAAGGAATGTCATCCCAATGCTACAGGTTAGAGTGATTAGAAATTGAATAGCTATGGCTGCCCAGTTGCTTAAGGACACTATAGACACCAAAATAACTTTAGCTTAATAAAGCAGTTTTGGTGTATAGATCACACCCTGCAGTCTCACTACTCAGTTCTCTCTCATTTAGGAGTTAAATCACTGTTTACTGAGCGCAAGTCAAACCTCATTGCATGTGACTTACACAGCCTTCCTAAACACTTGAGAAAAAAAGTAACCTAGATATTGTAGGTTCCTGTCTTACACAGTCGGTTTAATCTAGAATTTCTTCTCCTGCTCTGTTAATAGCCTCCTAAACTCTATAGGAGCTTCTTATGTGTGAATACAATTTACAGAGCAGGAGATAAAAACTTCTAAAGTAAGTTACATTTAATCGAAAATGAAACCGCCAGGGCTGCATAAACAGAAAAAAAAGTATCTAACTCCTAAATGGCAGAAAAGTGATCAATGAGACTCCAGGGGCGTGATCTATACACCAAAACGTGATCTATACAGCAAAACACCAAGCCAAAGTTGTTTAGATGCCTATAAAGTCCCTGCTGGCCATGTGAGCAGACTGATACCTCTATATAACTAAGGACCACCGCCGTCCCACTGCTTAACAGGAAGCAGATTTGTTTCACCTTTCCCCCCAACTGCCCCCACTTTTCATCCTTATTTTACCTGTTCCAAAGAAAGGGTTTGGATAGAGTGCACGATGTGCCAGGTAACGTTCTCAGAGCAGGCAGGAGTGGTAAGGGAACCTTTGTATGTATAATAATGTTTCAGGTAAACGGTTAGTATTCCTTGTAGATCAACAGATAAGGGTGCTGATTGACCTATAAATCAAAAAAAGAACAATAAAAATATATTCAACCTATCAAAGGATGATCTTACTCAACTAGTCCCTCATCCCCATTACACATTAACAGTAGCTGCAACTTTCCTCTGGCTATCATTTTCAAATTCCCAGTTCTACCCTTTGTCTTAAATCCCAATTATACCCTTTAGATTGTAAGCTCATGAGCTATCTAACTGGGCACTTTGTGTAAAAGAACTTCATTGACTAGATCTCAGCTCACGGGCAGGACCTTCTTTACCTTTTGTATTGTTCTGTGTAGATTGTATTATTTTGTTTTTTCCTACTAATTGTACAGCGCTGTGGAATATGTTGGTGCTTTAAAAATGCCAGTAATAAATAAATGTAATATACTAACTCACAAAGCCACGGTCACTGTGACGGATTACCCAGAACTGCAATACAGAGTTAACCATACAGTACAATATATTTCTATAATGTTCAAGCCTTTTCCAACTTTAGCTCTCTAGCCCTCTCTGGGCCTCTTGTTCTTCCATTTATGGTCTCATCCTTTGTAGTGCCCCTGTTATAACAACTTCGGCTTTCTAGCAAATATTGCTGCTGCAATGAAACATGTCAGCTGGCTCCTGGCAATGTGATTTGATCTGTAGTGGTAATGTAGAGCCACAAAGTAATTCAAATGGTTAAAAGAAGCAACAACTGTTACAGATTGAAAGTATAAGAACCAGCTCAGTCCTCAGAGTCACAGCCCTAGTCCTGCAGTGTAGAGCTTCACAAATGTTAAACTATGCCACAGCATGTGTCTTGGGTCTCAGCTACAGAGTGACTGAGTATTTTAAAGAAGATAATGGGCTCTGGGCAGCTGATGGTAAATTATTTTATGTGCGCAGCCTTTTATTGTTTTTGTTTTATCTGGGCAGCTGAGCCTACACTATGCAATGTGCTGTGTTAGTTATTAAAACTATAAGTGGCATAATCCAACACCTTTCTACACCAATCCTACTCCAAGATGGATAATTTTCTAATTTCCCCAATGACTCAAAGATAGCATCCATCTCATGGTCTGATCATGTGTACATCTCCTTAATGTTAACAATACCTATCCTTGATTGACCATTAACATGGAGCTTGAACCCATTCCGAATGTATACAGTAAAAGTTGTCACAATTTCTAAGGATCTCATTGACTAGTTTGATAGTAACCAGTTTTGGCGTCCACCCCATATCATTATGTGCTGCCATGAAACCACTTATTAGAGGGAAGCTCATTAGCCTTGCTTTACACCTCAATAAACTTTGTATCCAACAACCTCTGATGCAATGTCTGAATTCCTGATTTTACTTAAAACTTACTGCCCAGTTTCCCCCTCAATTAACTGCAGTCAGCGATACTCCAAAATTGTTCACTCTTTCAGATACAACTAAAGCCCTTATGTGAAAAAAACAAAACTGTAATGGGAAAGGGAATACTGGGGACTTATTAGCCCGCTGCCCTAAGCATAACAATTAATATGCACCCTCTCATGGGGTGGGGGAGCTAAATCTAAATAAAGATGGGAACACTATAGCATTATGTATACAGGTTTGTTTTTCTAATGCTATAGTGTGCCCATAGGTGTAACTACAAACCACGGGGCCCCAGTGTGAAAATTGCTCTGGGGCCCTACCATACATCTCTTGGGGGGATGAGTGTGACAGAATTGGAGGGGTTAGTGTGATAGGGTGAGTATGACAGAGTGATAGAGAATGAGTGTGACAGGATTTGGGGGTGAGTGTGACAGTGCTAGAGTAGGTGAGTGTGATAGGGTGAGTATGGCAGAATGATGGGAGAGGAGTATGGCACGAGTGAGTGACAGGATTGGGGGAATTATTGTGAGTGTGGCAAGGTGAAGGGGGGGTGACAGTATGTGTGGTGCTGTGACAGTTACACAGGTGCATACACTGACACACATGCAGATAAACAGACAAACACTCACTGACATACATGCAGATGCACACCATATAACACATACAGATACATACACTGACACACATGCAGATACACAGACACACAAACAAACACACATACAGATACACAGACACATATATACACACAGACACACATGCAGATACAGACACACAGGATGACATACATTCAGATAGAAACACTGACACACATGCGGATACACAGACAAATATACAGACAGATACACATATAGACATGCATGCAGATACACAGACACTTCATGACAAACTTTCACATGCACAGAATGACATTCATACAGATGCAAACAGTGACATACAGATACAAACAGTGACACACATACAGATACATAGGGACACACACTGACATACAGATACACAGATATACAGACACAAATGCAGATACACATGCAGACAAACAGATATACAGTACATACAGACAGACATGCATACAGACACAGTCACACTGTGTCTGTGCCCCTTGAAATGCATTGCCATCAGGTGGCCCTCAGAGCATGGGCCACCCGATGGGCCCCTGAACGCGCGGTCCCTAGGTCGTAGGGGTGCACAGGGTAGCCGGGCCCCTTGCAGTGACATGCCTGGTCGCGCCTGCGACCACGGTAGGTCCACCACTGAGTATGCCTGTAAGAGCTCCCTCACGGCTGTGGATGCTTCTCAATGTCCCAGAGTGCTGCAGCCAGCACCAGAATATGAACAACAGATCTGTGGAGGAGCTCTTATAATGATCTGCATGGATAAAGGTGCAGACCACAACACTCTCCCACTGGACTATGAGGAATCCTGCAAATGAAAACTGGCCCCCACACACTCAACCTCCTTCCCCGACACATTTTAGCACCACACACAACACTCAGGTATGCAAACCAATCCACTCAAAAAATTCAGCAGCCACACACTCACAACATTCAATCAGCATATAGAAACACTCAGACTCCTCCACCACACAACACTTTGCCACTACACACTCTCACACTCACGCACAACACTGAACGATCCACATATAACAGTCAGAGCCATTCAGAGAACTGAGCCCAGGGCCCTAATCTAGCATCCTGCCCAGGGCCCTAGGCAGGCATAAGACATTTTGCCTCATAACCTACAGGCATAGGGGACAGATATCATTCAGGTTTAGCACCGTTATCTTATATAATTTTGCCTTTCACCTCATATATGAATTTGAATTCTCTTGATCTCCAGCAGTTCTCAACTGTAATCCATTCTGAACTCTCATCCATCCCTACATTCTCCTGTCCCTCTCTTGCTATCTCCTTATATAACGCTACCCTCATCTCTGTCCTTGACGCTGTAGCCCCGCTCCAAGCATGCACCTCAAGGAGGGCGCGCCTCCAACCGTGGCCCACTAAGTCAACACTCTACCTGCAGAGATGCTCCTGTTCATCTGAACGCTGCTGGAGGAAGGCCTGCACATTATAAATTAAATTTGTCTTCATATAGCACAGCCCTCACCCTTGCTGAACAATCCTACTTTTCATCTCTTGTTAGTTCATGCTCACGCAATCCCAGGCATCTCTTTAATACCTTTAACTATCTCCTTCGCCCACCTCAAGCCACCCTTCAAACTGACTTTTAGGCAGATAGCCTTGCATGCTACTTTACCGACAAGATTGAACAGTTAAGGAAAGAATTCTCCCCCCTTTGCTCCTCCCTTTCACAACCACACATCGACTGTTCCTTCCCTACCCTACAGTCCTTCTCCCCAGCTACAGAACAGGAGGTGGCTTCTCGTCTCCTCTTATCCCACCACCTGTCCGCTTGATCCAGGACCTTCCCACCTTATAAGATCTCTCTCCCCTTGTCTTGTACCATCCTTAACACACATCCTAAACTGCTCTATTTCATCTGGTGTTGTTCCTGCTCCCCTTAAGCATGCTACTGTCGTACCCATCCTAAAAAAGCCATCCCTAGACCCGTCTTCCTCTTCCAACTGTCGTCCCATATCCCTGCTTCCTTTTACTCAAAACTTCTAGAAAGACTTGTCTTTACTCGTATGGCTCGCTTCCTAAAATCCAACTCCCTCCTTGATCCTCTTCAATCTGGCGTTCGCCCCCTCTACTCTACTGAGACTGCTCTTATTAAAGTTACAAATGACTAATCGCAGCTAAGTCCAAAGGCCACTACTACATACAAATTCTTTTTTACCTCTCTGCTGCCTTTGACACTGTTGATCATGGCCTCCTTCTCCTAACTCTTTAATCTCTTGGTCTCTGTGACACAGCCCTCTCATGGTTCTCCTCCTATCTCTCCCAATGCTCCTTCAGTGTCTCTTTTTCCAACGACACCTCCTCTCCATACCTCAAGGTTCAGTTCTTGGTCCCCTTTTGTTCTCTCTCTATACTGCCTCTCTTGGCAAACTCATTAATTCATATAGATTCCACTACCAGCTGTACGCCGACGACACCCTCTCCTCCCCTGACCTCCCCCCTACTGTCCTACAATGTGTCACAAATTGCCTCTCTTCTATCTCTGATTGGATGACCTCCCACTTTCTGAAACTCAATCTCTCTAAAACTGAGTTTCTTATTTTTCCTCCTCATAATACTGATCCTCCTCCTTCACTCTCCCTGCAGGTTGATGGTACCTGCCTCACCCCATCCTTTCAAGCTTGCTGTCTTGGTGTCATTTTTTATCCTGCCTCATCTTTGCTCCTCATTTTCAGTCTGTTGATAAAACCTGTCGATACCAGCTTAAAAACATTGCGAAGCAACGCTCCACACAGCATCGCGCGGGAGGACAGAAGAGCTGCTTCCTAGAGCCCTCCCCCTGTCCTCCCAACACAGAAGCAGAGTAGGTGCCTGCCTACTCTGCAGACAACCAGCTGCCCACTCTCCCGGCGACCTATGGCCGCGTGCCAACAGAGAGGGCCCGGCGTGCCACCTGTGGCACGCGTGCCATAGGTTCACCATCACTGGTTTAGGGTAATTGGTGATTCTGATGATATACCATACCTTGGTATGCAACCTGAGGAAGTGCCTGGATTAACGTATCCAAAGCTCTATTATGAGAGCCAATCTAGGAAATAAAACAAAACTTTCAAGTTTAATATGAGACAAAAAAAATGGGTAGTTGGAATTGAGGACACATAAAGAAACAAAAATAGTTTAAACGAGCTAATGCACACAGCTTATCACTGCCTAACAAATATGGATTAAATTGATAGTGATAATGCAAATAAAATGTTTAAAAATGTAAAAAAAAATTTTAAAAAATTATATATACACATTTTTTATTTTTTTTGTGCGCTGTTCCTTAACCCGTTTTGTGTATATTTTGGTCTTTACAGTAGAATATACATGTTTTGGGTTTCAATTCCCTTTTTTTCCTGTGTATATTTGGGATTTAGACCAGATTCCTTTTTAAAGCACCTCACCTCTCCATTTTATGTGCCCTTTTGTAGGAGACCACAGGAAAGCATACATTTGAGAAGTATCTTTGGAAATAGTTAAAGCAGAAAGGCTTGCATTTAGCATGTATATCTCCAATGGTAAAATTTGTGTAGGACCCACACGTATTGGGGTACAGTGATGTAGTAGTAGCTTAACACAATATGGCCATATGGTATGACTAAATCCCCATATTTGTTTGCTGAGATACGTGAATTAAAGTGACTTTGTAAGAGGTAAAATTTTATTTTATTGTGTGCGTGCTGTTCCTTAATCTGTAGTTTGCATGCATTTTAGTCTTTACAACAGCACTACTACTGTGAAATGCATGTTCTTTGTGTGGTTCCCCAATTCCCTTTCTCTCTCTCTCTCTCTCTCTCTCTCTATGCTACTAGACAGGACTTAAAGTTATTTGCCAATGCAAGCCTGGAGGCATGGGATGGCTGGCAAGAAGGCCTCCCCCAGGCCACTAGCATTCAGGGGTTGTGGGCTGCAGCTCAATGTAAGGTATAAAGTCCCAAGTCTTTGGCATTAAAGCCCTGGATCTCTTACCTGAGGCACTGAACTTTAATAAGCCCCATGCTGCCTTTTGATTTTTTTTACTTTCCACCACACTCCTACATCCACTCGTAAACAATGATCAGAGGCTGCAGTGTGTGTGTGTGTGTTTATAGTGGATGTAGTGTGTGTGTGTATAGTAGATGCAGAGTGTATGTGTGTGTGCATATAGTGGATGTAGTGTGTGTGTATAGTGGATGTAGTGTGTGTGCATATAGCGGATGCAGAGGGTATGTGTATATAGTGGATGCAGTGTGTGTGTGTGTGTAGTGGATGCAGAGTGTGTGTGTGTGTGTGTGTGTGTGTAGAGAATGCATGTGCGTGTGTATAGTGGATGTAGTGTGTATATAGTTTGTGTGTGTGTGTGTGTACATATAGTGGATGAAGTGTGAGTGTGTGTGTGTGTGTGTGTGTGTGTGTGTGTGTATGTATATATATATATATATATATGTATGTATGGGATGCAGTGTGTGTGTAGTGGATGTAGTGTGTGTGTGTATAGAGGATGTATAGTGTTTTTTTTTTGAGAATGTAGTATGTGTGTGTATATAGAGGATGCAGTGTGTGTATGTTGTGATCTTTGTCTGCAGGTAGCACGGTCCTCCAGGGCAAAAACATGCACAGTCTTTCAATGCAACTTCATTCCAGGCACTTTATTTGTAAGTTTACATATGAGGCAGCAGCAAATGAAAACATAAATATAACAGGTTTCCCTTTAAACAAAAACCTAGCTCGTCTGAGCACTGACTCACTTTGTATATCCCTCTCTATCAGGGTTACTAACAAAAACATATTGCACCAACCTTATTAGATAGCAACACTATGCTAGCTAGCCTGTTGCTTTCCTTTCTGCACTCCCAGTGTGCTCCAAGCCAGCCTTGCCCTGACGCTTTCCTTTCTGCACTCCCAGTGCTCCAAGCCAGCCTTGCCTCTGACTTGCCCTGACTTCCTTTCTGCACTCCTAGTGCTCCAAGCCAGCCTTGACTGCTTCCTCCTGCACTCCCAGTGCTCCAAGCCAGCCTTGACTGCTTCCTTTCTGCACTCCCAGTGCCTAGTCTCCTTGACTCTCTATCTGGAGAGAACAGCCTCTCTCCTACCTGCTTCCTGGGAGGAAGCCAGCAATCCCTCTCCTTTTCCTGCCTAGCCGGGAGGGGTTTATTCCCACTGCAACAGCTCATTAACTGCAGCTGAGCAGTGGGTTGGAGACGGTCCAAAAAACCCTGGCTTGGATCTATGTCTCCCCAGAAAACCACTAAACTGTGGAGTGGAGCATTGGCCCACCCTTCTCTCCAAATGCTCCACCCCAGGGGCCCATAACTAAACAATGCTTTGTGTTGTGCAACACACAAACTACACGTACTTCCCCTGGGGTTAAAAGGCCTATCTGCCTTCACTTTATCACATATCCTCCCCCCCAGCTCAGACCCATCGGGTCGAGCGACCTTAGAACACAAACCATGAACATTCACATCACCTAGGGCTGTACCAGCCCTGACTTGCTCCTCAGTTACAGGAAGTGGCCTATTGTAGATGGCTGCTACCTTGCTCCCTTGTAGTTTAAGGAACCCCCACCCAAGTGGATAACCCAAATAGTTAGCTGCCTCAAATCCTAGATAACACTTAGTGTTAGCGGTCAGACCGGCAGCCCTTACATTATTCACAACTAACTGGACCTTCATCAGGTGTGCTTCCAAGTCCACCCTGTGAATCGCCACATCACCAAGGTAGGCAGCGGCATTCTCTCCGTGGGGCCAAAGTATCCTATTCATATGCGGAAAGGGGGCTGGTGCACTATGCAACCTGAATGGCAGTACTTTATGTTGCCATAACCCCTTGGGAGTAGAAAACGCTGTCCTTCCCTTTGCTTTCTCTGTCAGGGGAACCTGCCAATACCTTATGACCAGGTCCAAGGTACTCAGAAACCTGGCCTTACTTATACGCTCTTGCGTTTGAGCTACATGTACTATAGGGCATTTAACTTTTACTACCTCTGTGACAAACTCTACCTCTGCCATGGGGTATGTGCGGGTGTCACCATGTGTATCCACAATATCAATCACTTGTCTTAAACCACATTTTTCTGGCTGGAGCAGAACACTTTTCAAAGTAGCCTCACTCCCTGAATTAATTAGTGCTTGTGCACTCTTCCCTACCACCATCACCACTTTTAGCTGTGCTGTAACACCACCACCAGTCACCATACACATCTTTAAGCAAGTCAATACAATCCTATACAGAGCCCTTATTACTATGTCACACTGTATTGTCTCTTCACTCTCAGGACAGCTATATGTAATATGTCCTTGCATGTGGCAGTTGAAGCAGTTTTTCTCAGTCTGGTCTCGTAGCCAAAATGGGACTTTTAGGTACGTTCTACCATCATAGGTATATTGTCCCAGTCTTTGTCCTTGCTTTCCGGTTTCCCCGCTTATCTGGTTACTAGCAGATCTAGGCTGAGGATCAGTACTGTGTGGCTCCTTAGTAGCCAAGTTCCTCTGAATCATCATCTGCTTCCACATCCACAGCAGCTTCTGGTTTGATAGTCTCTCAATGTCCGAGTTACTTTCAAACGCAAACTTTACAAAAGCTTTGAGTGTAACTAACTTTTCTATATCACTTATACGTCCAGTTCTTTCATAAGACGAATTTGCTGGGTGCTCAACCTCTTCAAGACCTGGTTCTGTCACCAGCTCATCCTCCACTGGAACCGGTCCCTCCGTGAAGGGCTTCACAACATCCTCCATCTGTTCTGTGAATCCCTGGGAACCTTCCTTGCTTTCTACGGTTAATGCTACAGGTCTCATCTCTATATCCTCAGGGGGTTGGCCAAGGAGGCTGTCTAGAGCACCCTCCTCCTGCATGAATGCAGCCTTTGATCCCAGCTCCTTTCCATCATGCTCGGCCTGGCCTGGCATGGAGCGCTGTTCTACCTGAGGCCCAGACTCCTGGCTTAGTTCATCTCTCCTTTGCCTGGTTTCCTCCCCAGGGGTATCCTCCGCTTGCTCGGCCTTGAGTGGCCACCTCTCAATGTCAGAAATGCTTTCCTCTGGGCTGTTTGGCAGTCTCCCTGTTCCCTTGGGGGTGTCCATGGCCTCTCGCTGGATCATGACAGCCCCGGTATCAAACAGCCGGTCAGGCAGTCCGAGTCCTGCCTTTAATTCCACGACTGTGTTCCCAGAGTCTGGCAGCTGTTCCAGGTAGTTAGTGCGCCCAGGCCTTGTAGCAGTAGTCTTTGCCAACAGATCCAGTTCTATGGCTCCCGAACAATCCTTCAAAGTCTTTGTAGCAATACCAGATGTATTTGAAGTATTTAATTTAGCTGCGCCAATGTCACCTGCTTTGTAACTTTCGCCTTGGTCGGGCTTAGGTGCGGACGTGCCTATCTTATCACCACAGCTTGGTTCTGTAACTGTCGCTCTCTCTTGGCTTAGATCAGAAGCAGCTACTTTGCCTTTCTTTTCTCTGCCAAACTGTTCAACAGCTGGTCGACATTCTTGGGTAGCCTCGGCTACTAAACAGTGCACCGCATTGCTATACTCAGCTGGGGTGCTTTGCTTCTCTCTATTAAGCTCAGCTCGTTTGCGGTTGTCTTCTCTGACTCCCCAAGTCAGTCTGCTTTTCATACCTTTAACTTGTTCACTTGGGTGTACATCAGGGGCTCCTGCTTAGTTTTCTTTTATATGTGATCCCCCTGGAATTGCATCTATTCCCTTCTCTTCACCAGTCCTTCTGGACGCTTCACTTAGAAAATCTAGAACTCTTGTTTCCACTATAAAATCTGGGTTCCACAATAACTGGTCATCATTTTCATACACTCTTTCAGTTTCCTTGTACTTGCAGATGCCAACTGGAATCTCTGCCTGGAACATGGAACCAACCATTATTTCCTTTTGCCAGTCTTCTGAAGGAACATAATCCTCATCATCCTCTGATTCTTCTTCTATTTCATTATTTGCATCAAAATACTTGCACCTCCGTGGCCTGATTGCCTCTTGTACATCCCGACATGTAGCAGATGGCAATGTGTCATCGTTACATGATTGAGTCTCATCTTCCGGTCCAGAGGAACCTTTAATGGTCTCATCCTTGTTTTCCACACTGCAGGCACTGTTCCGGTCATTCTCTTCTTCTTCTTTCGTTACCTTGGGAAGATTTATCAGTACCTTTCTGTTTTCAAATGTCTTTCCAGCATTCTCTTGAAACATGCAAGATTCAGTTTCTGAGCATGAAAATATTTTTGTTTCCAACTCTTTTCCCAAGATCGCTTTATCTGTTGTGATGCCACTTACAGCAAGTTTGAGGCTTTCACGTGAAGCTGCAACATTTTGATTCTCAAATAAACACTTGTCAACTTCAGTAATCAGTTTGCCTCGCTCCCCCTTCTGATTCTTCTGCCCTTCCTTACTTTGGTGCATGCCATCAGTGTCACCATCACGGTCTCTTGACAATTCCGCTTTTTCCTTTAGTTTTGCAGGTCTGTTTACTAACCTTTTCTCTTTTTGGTCCTTGGAGGATTCATCTGGCTGTTCACCTTCTTCCACATTAGCACTACTTTCAGGCTCAATTTTATCTTTCATGCCTTCTAATTCCTGTTCTCTCTCTTCTGTGTGTTTCTCAATATCATGCTTTGCTGCCCCCATGCTTTTCAGCTTGCTAAAGACTTCTTCTACTGCCTCTGTCATCTTATGCAGGATGTCAGTAGCTTGGTTACGGGGTCCCTTGTCCCCACACACCCTGCCGGGGGCAATCTGCAAAACATCAGTAAGGGCAGCTCTATACTCCTGCTGAGCGTCCCTCAGGTTCTTAAGCTGTGCAGCCAGGAAATGGTTGGTGTCTTGTTGTATAGCGGTTGCCTGTACCAGAGCCTTCAGCAGGTCCTCCATTATAACACCAAGCAGGTAAGAGTCTTAAAGGTACAGTGCTACATTCTCCACCATATTGTGATCTTTGTCTGCAGGTAGCACGGTCCTCTAGGGCAAAAACATGCACAGTCTTTCAATGCAACTTCATTCCAGGCACTTTATTTGTAAGTTTACATATGAGGCAGCAGCAAATGAAAACATAAATATAACATGTTTCCCTTTAAACAAAAACCTAGCTCGTCTGAGCACTGACTCACTTTGTATATCCCTCTCTATCAGGGTTAAACTAACAAAAACATATTGCACCAACCTTATTAGATAGCAACACTCTGCTAGCTAGCCTGTTGCTTTCCTTTCTGCACTCCCAGTGCTCCAAGCCAGCCTTGCCCTGACTGCTTTCCTTTCTGCACTCCCAGTGCTCCAAGCCAGCCTTGAC